CTTTCAAAGAACTGAGATCTGCTGGGACTCGCAGTCAGAGCAGCTGGAGAGACTGAAGAGATTCAATGATCATGATTTCAGTTCTTAATAATAATTAGCATCATATTCAATAATTACCCAAATCACATTTTTAAATTAAATTCTTCAATGTGATGTTTAATCCAAAGAACATCTTTGAATATTTAAAATCATTTTAATGTATCAAAGTTCACCAACCTGGATCTGCTGAGCAGCTCAGCAAGAAGATCAGAACTAGAGAATAAATAAAAATACATATTTATTATAAATAAAGCTGAACAAGTGGAACACAATGAAACTGTAATTCAGACTTAATTTATAGCCGATTTTTATTTTTTACATGCTGTTATTTATAAAGGTCAATTGATTGTTTTATTTAACACTGATTCACAACAGACATCAATTCTTGACACTTTATTACACAATCAGATCTATTTCATACTCAGACTCATCCAGGCCCCCCAGTAATTCTATCATTAAATCCGTCCAGTAAAATGTCTCCAGTGTCTCTCAGACAGAGAGAAATGCTGATCCAGCAGAAAGAGACTAAAACTTGTCTACTTACAGATCAGACAGTGAGATGTTCCTTCCATTGTTCTTCTCAGTGATCTGACCTGACGATGTTTCACTGAAGCTGAGAACGGCTGGCTGAGCCGCCTACTTCCTGCTGCTGGTCCGTCTGCTGCAGAGAGGGGGCAGAGAGAGGAGGGGCTGCAGAAACAAACAAACAAAAAATGAAACATTTTCACATCTCAGACAAAGAGGAAGACTATGTAGAAGACCCCCGAATGTGATGAAGAAGGCCGATGTTAGAGAAGAGATTGAAGATGCCATTGGAAGGAGAGAGGCGCCCCCTAATGGTAGATATTCAGGAATTGTTAATATTCAAGAATAATTAAGACAAAGAACTGCTTTTACTGACAGGTTATTTCACCTGTAACAACATTTTTTCTCATGTTATATATTGAATGTATTTGTGTTGCCGGAGCATATTAATGAGAAACACGTATCATCTATTACAAACACAGGAAAAATCCCTGAATGCACTGAATGTTGGAAAAAGGACACAATACTCTAAGGATCAAATCTAGAAATGACGGTACTGCTTACCAGGATACTGGCCTAGTTAAAGTAAACATATTATTCTTTTAAGTTCTTCCTTTTCTCATGTAAATCATTCTTTTATGGATGAGGGTTTGTCTGTGGTCATTAGGTAATTTATTCTCTGTCTTGTCGTGTCTCGTCCCTGATTGGTCCCACCTGCCCCTTGTTGTCCCTTGTTGTGTATTTAGTCTTACCTTGTCGTTCCCAGTCCTTGTTTCTGTTACGGGGTGCCGGTCTGTGTGACCTGTGGTTCTGGGCTCTGTGTACAGTTTGGGACTTGGACTGTGTTAAACTTATTTTCTCTGGGCCTCACTGCCTAAATCCTCATCCTTCAAACTGCATTATGTGACCAGAACAGCAATGCTTTGGTGGCTCCAGACCCTCATTCTCCTGTTCTGAGGCGTTTTAGAGAAACTTGTTTTGCTGCTGTCTTTTTAATGTGAATGAGACATTTCACGCCCCCTCCAAGTCGCACAGCGTTCCGCTCCACCCTGTTCGGCCATTTTTGTAGTTTGATAGCAGCGATATGACTATCTATTGGCAGAGAAACTTCTTATTCCAGAGTTTATTAAAGATGTCAACAATCCTTCCATGTTGGAGCCAGAGTCCGACCCAGAACAGGAGAACGAAGACGACCAACCTCAGGGCCGTGCAGAGACCTTTGGAGGGCTCAGAGTTAAAAAGGGGCCCATTGAACAACAACAGAGCAACAACCATATTAATCAATAATCTAATATTTAATCAGATCAAACTGCATCATCATGTGGACAATGCAGAGCTAATCTAGTCCATGTTTCTCTGATTTAATGTTTCTGCTGCTGATCTGAGACTGAAGCTGTTAGACAGACCAGAGGAGAGAAGGTCAAAGGTCATGAAGTTATGGAATAAAAACATTTGATGATATTTTACTAAATAAACCCTGATAATATCTTTAACCTCTAGAACAACTTGGCTGCAGACTGAATTAAAGACCAAAAGCTCAGAGGTTCATTCTACATCAGTTTTCTATGTTAGAAACTCTAGATCTAGAATTATAAGACTGAGATATCAAGGCAAAGAAACTCAGTAGGTGCTGGTAGGGGCCATTCAGGGGCCCCTCCAGACATTCAGGGGCCCTCCAGACATTCAGGGGCCTCCAGACATCCAGGGGCCTCCAGACATTCAGAGGCCCTCCAGACATCCAGGGGCCCTCCAGACATTCAGGGGCCCTCCAGACATTCAGGGGCCTCCAGACATCCAGGGGCCCTTACAGACATCCAGGGGCCTCTATAAATGGTTGAATTGTAACACATTCATCTATTGAGAATGATAATGTTACTAAATTTTATTTAATTCATTCAGCAGAGGGAAAAAAGTACATTTAGGATTTGATTAGGAAGTTTATTTTGTAAAAGTTTAAAGCACCATCTTGGGTTGTGCTGTGGTGGTGCAGCGGTTCAGCACAACCCACATATGGAGGCCTCAGTCCTCAACATGGCTGTTGCAGGTTCGATTCCCGGCCTGGTGACCTTTGCTGCACGTCTCCCCTTCTCTCATTACCCACCATCCTGTCAATTAACTATCAAATAAAGGCCACTAGAGCTAAAAAATAAATAAATAAATAATCTTGATAGTTGTGACAATATGATGTTGGGATAATCAGTGATTGATTTTAAACTCAGCCAGTTAACCTGGGCTCCTCTCACAGATCCACTAAATCTATATTTAACCTTGTTAGTGATGCTGAGGTTCTGAGTAGGAGGAGCCGGGGGGCTAAATCACGATTCTGTCTAGGGCCCCATATTACTTTGGGCCGGCCCTGCATGAAGAGCCGCTGCATCTCTGTGCTGCATAAGAGAGACATTAGGAAGATTTAACTAGCAGGGCAAAGCTTCAGATGAGCCTTTCCTGCTTCCTGACTGTTGGGTTTATGAGGTTCTGCTAATTTAGTTACTTCTGAAGATTAAAGTTCAGGTATTCTTATGCACAGTAGATGATGCACTGCGTGGTAAAATGCATTCTGTCACAGGAAAATGACCAAAAACAGGCGTTTCTTTCTTCTGTCATAAAGTGATGAAGACCCATTTCCTGCATCTTCCAGCTGAAATGACTGTTTCACTCAAAGGGATTATAAATATGTAGTTGACAAATATGTAAAATTAATAAATGTGCTTTAAATCCCTTTTGTGTTTTCATTTAGTCTCTACAGAAATTACATGTCCGAAGCATTTCAGTGTCAACAAAGGGATTCTGAGCACATGACTGTAGCGTGTAACTGTCTGACATGTTATTTTAATGTCATTTTAAACATGTATAAATGTAAATAAATGTATATAAATAAATAAATATAAATGTATAAAAATGTAAGGGATACTGGACCTCATTTGGGCAGTTCGCAGTGACCGGCAGAAAATATCCCTTAATTCAGGTGTGGACAGACGTTCCTACAGAAGTCTTCATCATCTTTACAGAAGTCTTCATCATCTGAAGGACAATAATTATGAAGCCTGTTAAACTACAGAGCCGCCTAGAAATGGGGAAAAATATTTTGTGTTCTCTCACAATAAATTATCAAGTACAGCTGGTTTATTTTGTATAGTCAAATTTTATTTCATGACATTTTGATAACAGGTGGGATTAAATAAGTGTTCAAACGGTACATCCAAATAGTTTGGATGTATTTTTTATTTCTGTTTGTGTCTCAGAAGGGATGGAAGGAGATGGAAAGCCCATGTTTGACCAGTTCTTGGTTTGTGGTGCATTTCTAACCTAAAGGTAAAGATATTTCAGCATTTATGCAGCATGAACTGAGCAGTACATATTGTGATTATAGTGAGAAGCGCTAAAGTCTTGCGTGGGAATCGGTGATGTAAAAGAAAGAAAAAAACATGTCCTCTAGTGGGGATCCGTAAAAAACTGGACCTTTAAGAAAAAAAAGGTGATCCGTAGTGGTAAAATCGATGTTATGATAAAACGGCCTGCCAAATGCCATAGTCTGCCTTGACACCAATTACAGGCTGCTACGTCACATAGCTGAGTCTCTCTGATTGGTTCACTCTCCGCGTCCAGCTGCAAAAGTTCAGATTTTCTGACTCGAGCAAGAGGCTCACAGTTTCCCACTTTTAGGGCGTTTCCGTTGATCTTTCCGTCTGGGAAGTTGGGATTTCCCAGTTTTTCATTACCACTGTAACGCATCATAAGCTCCACCTTCACCTCCACCCTTTCCGCCTCAGCAGGGCTCAGCCTGCAGAGGAAAGTGAAAGTGAAAGTTTTCACTTTCTCAGTGTTTCATCCATTTATTCTAGTTCCACCGCTTTCTAACTGCCTGTTGTGTTTAAGTTAAACTTCAGTGTTTTTATGTCCCGACGAAACATTTTCCACTTAGAAACGTGAATGAATCTAAATTTCGGACGGAGACCGAACCAACCAGGAGATGGATTCTTCTCTGACTGCGTCTCTGCTGCTGCTGTCTGTGGTCTTCATGCAGTTTGTCTCTGCAGCAGGTGAGATTCAGCTGTTTAATGTTGTTAAACTTTACTTACAGTCATGTCTAATTCAGCCCTCAAGAGCCGATATTCTGCATGTTTTAGTCATTTCCCTGATTTAACCCCCTGAATGATGGTTCATTAGCGGAACCTGCTGAGTCGGTGTTCTGACGATCTGAGCTACCCCGTCAGATTTTCCTACCGTAGCTCATCTAGATGGCCATTTCTGTCTGTCGGTGCTACCTTTCGAAAACCGCTGACGTCATGTTTACATACCAAAGACCATCGCATTTCGTGTCTATGTTAAATAATGATCGGAAATCTTTAAAGTGACGGGATTTAAGTTTCGCTCAGCAGTGATATGCAGCATTTGGGGGGATTGTCCAAGGCGAACCTACAAATAAGGATGCTTATAATAGTTCTGGGTTTATCAATGTGGTTTAGTTTTTATTTCATTGTGACTTTTTTTATCTATTTCAGTTTTAGTTTTCAGAGTGGAATTGCTAGTTTTTATTATAGCTAAATATGACTTAATTTTAGTTTGTATTAGTTTTTTCATACTTTGGTTAATTTTTTAGAAGGGTAGGGTTCTAATTCTAAAACAAACCTTTTAGAATCGTTTCTAAAAATGTACCAAAGTGTACACTTGTTTATGTGTAGATTGATTAATGATTTCAGCATAGATAAATTAAGATTTTAAATTGTTTAAGGAGCTTCAGAGAATATTCATAGTTAGATTGTGTTGTTGCCATAGCAACAATCTGATGCTGTGAGTTTAATCTTTGAGGTTTTGCTGTTCATTAATGCATCTTATCCATCCATTTTCTAACACCTTGTCCCTGAGTGGGTCAGCAGGTGCTGGTTCCTCTCCAGGTGAGAGGTGGGGTCACTTGGACAGGTCACCTGGACCCAAATGCTTGAGCCAATGATTACTTACTATTATATACATGGATAACAGCATTGGGGACAGAATATCTTCTCCTGTACAAAGATAATTTACTCTAAGTTTTGGTTGCAAAACTTCTTAAAAAAAGTTTATAAATAGGTGAAATAAAATAAAAATATAATCATCCATTCAAAATGAATTTCATTTGGTTACATTTCTAATTGCACTTCTCTCATTTCTGCAGAAACCAATGCTGCTATAAGTATTCTTATGCTTTTACAATAAACTATAAATGAAAATATATTTTAAATATTCTACCAGTCTTATCATAAAATACAGTCCAAACCTTTAATAATTAGTTTTAAAAGGAGTTTGATTCAAGGAAACAATGTTAATAAGTACTTCAGGTTGCATTGGAGGTTAGCATGCTAAAAGGCTGCACACACTTAAAAACATTTTTAACCCAAATAAAACAAATGAAATTAAGATCTATCAAAAAAAAAACATGATTTCTTTTGGTTGAGTTTCACTTTCATCTTTTTGCGCCTTGGAAACCGTTGTTTCTGGAAACTGGATCTGTTAAAAAAAAAAAAAAGCAAAAAACATGTTTTGAATACGTTTTATAAATACTTTGGTTATTTTACCTGCTATAAATCAATTATTGGCTCATTTTGTAAAACGCTTAACATTTTAGTGACAATGTGTTCATTAAAATATTTAGATAGAAACTTGATGTTTCTCCTGCCTGGGATGAAGCACACAGGTCATCATCATCATCATCATCATCATCATCATCATCTGCTGAGTTTCTACAGGATCTAGTAAATAATAAAAGCTAATTCTGTCTTGGTTTCATCCAGTTTGTGTCCAGAAGTTCAGCAGGGAAACCAGCAACTTCTGAGGAAACAGATTAAATTCAGATCAGAAATAATTTTGAATCTCAAAGGGAAATTATTGTGACTCTCATTAACCAGCTGAGATCAATGAGCCTCAGAGAATCTGATGGTTTTAGATCTTCTGTGTATTAATTTAGATCCTTCAATAAACTAGTTATATATTATTTCATTAAGTTTTTATGGCTGTTCTGATAAAATATTTTCTCTATAAAAGTCGATAAGAGCAATTTTTATCATGAACACATTTTTTAAACATTTAAAATTGTCTTTAGAAACTGACCTTTGACCCTGATCCTGTCTTCCAGGTTCTGAGGGTTTCAGTGTTTTGATGTTTCTGCTGTTGGGTTAGACCTACACTGATCACTGGCTACTGTTGAGGAAAAATGAATATTTTTAGTGTTTAATTCAGTTAATCTTACAACATGTGAAAAAGGTTTATTGAGATGGTTGTTTTGAACAAAATTATTAATTTAGAATCATGATTAAAGTTTTAGATTAGTTTTAGATTAAATCATGTTAATGATTTAATCTAAAATTATTGATGGGAAAGTTTTCAACTTAGAGGAAGGAAGGACGGAGATCTGAAGGGAGCTTTAGTGTTTGGTTATCAGAGGTCAGGAGGTCATAAGGCAGCTTCACTTGGATGAGCAGGAGAAAAGTTTGCTCTGTTCACAGAAGGTCAGAAAAGTTTTCCAAACCAGCATCTGGGATGGTGTGAAGACTGAACATAGAATATCTAAAACCACTATCATCTAATTTGTAAGACATTTTTCTTAGTTATTAACTGCATGGTCTGATTGAAAATAGTCTAATCATAGTTTTAGAATGAATAATTGTAGTGATTAATTCATTCTGAAATTGTAATATCTGTTCTTATTTCAGAATCAAATAGAAAATGTGTGAAACAAAATGTTTTGTTTCAGTATTTGAAAATTGCTCAGGTTTATGGTGAAAGGTTTTGGAAAATCATTGTGTTCATTCTTACACTCAGGATTGATTCTTTCATCCGATCGGATAGAAAAAGGAGTTTCACCTCATTCTGATCTGATGATTTTTGTTACTTTTGGTTGACAGCAAGAGTCAATCTTTTGAAGTGCTGAATGCAGGAGAACAAAATGAGGTTTGTGGAGATAAACCTTTGCTTCAACTTTCCACAGGGTTTTAAGTTTCTTCCTGAGGAACCTGTAGGGAGAAGACAGGAGAGATTCCCACCTGTCTGTGAAACACCTTCCTCTGTTTTTCTCAGAAAGCCACAAAGCAGCAGGAGTTCAGGAGAAGCTCTGCTCTCACTTTGTTCAGACAAAGGGGACAAATGGCCTTAGATCTTGGTAGCAAATTGTAGGGAGTTTCTACCTTTTAAGAGGCTCCATGATACCTTCCAGTTGGTCAAGCAGAGGAACGCCTTATTTGAATGTATTAAAGAGGAAAAACGCCTTTACTTTAAAAGTTTGTACACAGGAGCAACAAATCAGATTGCTGTTTTATTTTACTTTTGCATCAGCGCTCTCCAAAGACATTTTTTCTTTATCCTATTCTCAGGTAAATGAAGGTCTGTCGTCGTGTGTATGAAGTGTTTGTGTTGTTGATGTGATTTTATACTTTTAAATGTTGGAATAAACTCTGAAAATGTAAGACATGGAGCTCTGATTGTTAACTCTGTGGCTTTTGTTTCCACGCATGGAATAACTGAATCTGGAAGCACAAGAGAATATAACGAGCAAGTCCAGTTTGACCTCTGACCTCTGCTGTTTTCTCTCCTTCAGATCAGAACAACGCGACAATCAAAGCTGAACCTGGAGAGAACGTCGTTCTGACATGTAAAGATCCTGATCAGGGGAAAATCAAAATCGCAGAGTGGAAGAGAACTGATCTGGGATCATCAGAATATGTCCTCCTGTACAAAGATGATCAGCTTGATCCAGGAGCCCAGCATCCATCTTACAGGGACCGAGTTGATCTGCTGTGTAATCAGATAATGAAAGGAGACGTGTCTCTGCTTCTGAAGAACACAACGACTGATGACAGCGGGACGTATGAATGTCGAATTGATACAGAAAAACTTGAGGGGAAACTGATCAGCACCGTCAGCCTGCAGGTTTCTCCTCCTCCTCCTCCAGGTGAGAGTTTGTCTCTGGATCAGAACCAGCAGCTTGAAATGTTGTCTGTGGAGCCCTCACATCAATAATCCATTGATCAGAACAACAATATCCCTCAGTGCTGAGGCATCTTCTGTTGGTTTGGTTGAGCAAAGTAGGAGGGTATACCGCTCCAAGATGGCCGCCATATTTCCTGTGCCGGAGCTGCAAATGCGGGGTCTACTCTTATATTATGTCTATGATTCAAACTGTGCGCTGCAGGCGAGAAGGACCTCACTGCAGCAAACAGAAAGGGGCGGGGACGGACCACTGTCAGTCTCTTACCTTATTTGGAAATTGGACCATTACACTCCGGAAGTGAAGGGGGCGCTATTTCCTATATTATCCGCGGTCTCCTGTTTAAATGTTCTTTTGACATCTGTGATATAGCTTCATCTTTAGGAAGGAGTTTCTCTCTCAGCATGTATTTGAACTTCTCTCTTTTATTTACTTCAGCGCAGCTCACAGTTTTTAACAATTTCCGTTGCTTTCTGTGTACTTCTAAATCTGCTTCTTAGTCGCATCTTTTTGGGCCTGCTACTGCCTCTAGTGGCGTGGGGGTGGTAGCACAACTAATATAAATACATTACTAAAGTCTTTATTATGTATTATTAATTCTCACATAACTAGAACCGCAAAAGATTAAGTCCCTCACAAAACACCATACCTTTTACTTTTCTTAAGGAAGTAGAGCTAATTAAATGACAAACAAAACCTGAAAGTGGTTCCAGTTTCACTCGTTGGCCAACCTGTTGAAACTATGGCAAATTTTAAATACCTTGGATCATTCCTGGACAGTCAGCTCAATTTTGCTGAAATCACTGGCTACATTTTTAAGAAACGTCACTATCTTTTAAGAAGACCCAGTGATCTTGGGGTTACCTAACAAGTGCAACTCGTGCAAAACCTCTAGTTAGTTAGAGGAAACATTAGCTAACATTACCTCTAGTTAAGTAATGTTAACATTTTAACAATGAGTTAAAATGTTAAAACTTAAAAATGTAACTTAAGTTTTAAATCATCTCAAGTTTTAACTGTTGAGGGCTTTAGCTTCAATCTTTTAAGAATACTTGGAAAAATAGTAGGTAAATAGTGGTGAAACCAATAACAACTCTGTNGGTCCGCTTCCGACTTTAAATTCATAAAACTATAAACCTATAAATCTTTTAGAAATAAATCTGCTCCGCAACACCTTGTCTGCACCCTTGTTCAATTTTTATTTCTTCTGATCGCCCCCCATTAATCCGAATCTTACCTGTGGACTTATTGTACAGTTCCTGAATTATCTTTATAAATTAGCTGGAGAAGTTGAATTCTGACAAGACTCTGAATAAGAATGACCAGTCCACAGTATCGAACGCTTTGTGTGCGTCTAAACCCAATATAACTGCTTGTTGGTCTTCATGTGGTTGATCATGTTTAGGGTTCTCCTGATATTGTCTCTGGTTCGTCTGTTCTTTATGAACCCTGTCTGGTCTAAATTTATTATATCTGGGAGGATAAGCTCCAATCTTTTGGCTAATATGGAAGTAAAGATTTTATAGTCTTGGTTAAGTAGACTGACTGGGCGGTAATTTGAACAGTTTAGTTTGTCTTCACCTTCTTTTGGAATAACTCTTATCATTGTTTGTCTAAATGGGGGAATTTGTCCCCCATTTAGAGCCCAGTTGAACGTTCTCTGAAGGACGGATCTTTTAAATAGATCTTATACCAATCAGCATTAAATCCATCTGGTCCTGGTGATTTGTTAAGTTTCAATTTATTTATTGCTTTTTCAGTTTCTTGAATTGTTATGTTGTTGGTCAGAATTTCATGTTTTTCATTCGATACACTGGGCAGCAGCAATTTATTCAGTAGTACACTGGTTTCCTCCATTTCTTCTGGTTCTTTTAGGGCATACAGTTTTTGGTATTTTTCAAAGCTTTTTCTTATTTCTATATTTTTATAGATAACTTTATTAGTTGTTGGTTCTTTAATTTTGTATATAATTCTTTCCTCCTGTCTTTTAAGTCTGTATGCTAGAAATTTTGATGATTTTGGGTTTGTTAGTAACTGTCTTATAATAAGAGTTTCTTCTGTACACTGGACTGTAGTTCTTGATTAATTTCATCTCTGATTTGTTTTATTTTCCCTAGAGTTTTAAGATCTTTGTTTTTATTTTATTTTTCTAGTTCGGCCAACTCTTGTTCCAAATTGTTTAATTTTTCTTGCTTAGTTTTTTTTTAAAAAGATGATTTTGCAATTATTTCTGCTCTCAAGACAGCTTTACAGGCGTCCCATAGTATTACAGGGGAGACTTCTCCATTGTCATTGACCTGCATATATGTCTGAATTTCTTGCCTTAACTCTTCTTTGATTTTGCCCTTCAGTATACTAGAATTAAGTTTCCACAGGAACAGGTTTTTGTTTAAACATTTACTTCTATGTGAAGTGGGCAACGATCCGGGAGGCCCATCAGCCCAATATGACATTTTTCTACTTGGTACATAAAAAAATAATCAATTCTTGAATATGAATGATGAGCTGCAGAGTAGAATGTAAAGTCCCTTTTTCTGAGGTTAAATTCGCGCCAAACATCACTTATCCCCAGTTCTTTGATCATCTTCCTGATCTTCCTACCTGTGCTGCAGTTAACTCTGGGTTGTTTAGAGGCATCTTCTGAAGGATTCAGTCTTACATTAAAGTCTCCACCACAGACTACTATGCCTTGTGATTTAGTTATCATATCAAAGATATGTTTATGAAATGTCCACTCTGAACCTGGCGGGGCATACACATTGATAAAGGTAATGTCTTGTCGTTACCTGGGTATAGCCTGTTATATTATATCTACCCTCTTTGTCTTTATATTCCTGGCTCATCTCAAATGTGACCCTCTGGGACATAAAGGTTGCCACCCCCCCTCTACGACCTGATTTATGTGATGCACTAAATACCTGATTAAAGCCATTCTTTTAAGTTTGCTATGCTCTTTCTCAGAGAGGTGAGTTTCCTTTTTTCCTAATAATTTCGCCCTTTTTATTGGGTTATGAACTCCTTTGACATTATAAGTTGTGATTCTAAGAGGTGATAATGAAGTCATGGATTGCATATTGCTGGATATTCAGAACGAGTAAAATAAATGACAACCCTAAGCTACCAAAACAAAGCACGACTGTGAACAATCCAAACATCTTAGCTTTGTAAAACAAGCTAACACACGTCCATTTAAAGACTCCCTTTTCTCTGGCCTTATAGTTTGTGAGCGATTTTGAGGGAAAGCCAGCAGCTCTGTGGCTGCGAGGGGCCCTCTGGTGGCGTTACCTGGGTATAGCCTTCCATTTTCTCGGAAGCGCGGTCCCCGACTCCAATTAACATCAAAACTAAAAAAATAAATAAACAGTAATAATAATCCCTGGATATGTCCGCTCCTGTGGTTGTACTTATTCTCTTCTAAACTCGTCCAGTTTCTTCTTGTGTCCCTCCCGTGTTCCGTTCGGTCGTTGATCTTTATCATTCTTTCCCGACTTGGTCCACATCGTGCTCTTGATCTTGCCAACCCATGTCGTTGATGGCTGGATAACGGTGATCTGGAGGCCTCGATTCGCCATGTCTTTAGTTGCTTCAGCTGCAGAGTTGTAGATTCGCGTTGTTTTCGTAGAATACTCTCAACTTGGCCGGGAACGGTGTTTGGAATTTGTTTCCTTGAGGACCCGCTTCACTTCACTGTACTCACGTCGCCGTTTTAACACGTCTGGAGCATAATCGTGGTCCACTGTGACTTTTGTCCCCGCCACCGTGGAGCCTTTCTTTTGCCAGGCTCGTTTTAGTACTTTTACCTTAGACGTGCCGAACTTGACTATTATGGATCACGGGGGGCTTCAGGCGGAGCTCTGGGTCCCAGAGAGCGGTGAACGCTGTCAATGCTCAGATCGAGTGATGTCGGAATGTCCAGTTTGTCTCGGAGTAGATTGTCTATGAAGGCTGAGATGGACGATGAGCCATCCTCGGAGCCCTCCGCGATGCCATGGAGCCTCAAATCTCCCCTCGAGTTCCACCAGCTTAGCCTCGAGTTCGTCTGGTACTTTACTTAGCTTCATAGCTCATCCTCTTCGAGCTGCTGAATTCTGTTCTCCGCTTCTAATATGTGTGTCTCTGCCTTGTCCAGTCTTCTGTTTACATTCTTTATCTCCTCTTTAACCTCTCGGAAGCCCTCGCTATTTTCTCGACGTGATTCTCTTGGCTCTTGGAGAATAGTTTGTAGATTAGCTGTCTCGTTAGCCGCTCATGATGCTTCCGAGTCCGAGAGGCTAGCCATACCTTCTTCGTTCGCTTCTTCTTCTCTTAACATCGATTTTCGGGACAACGGAGTGCTCTTTGATTTGGATTTGGGCATTCCAGCTCACTTCTAAGTTTATTTTATATCCCGCATTTGTAAATAACCTCTTCTTTTTAGAATTTGTGGGGGAGCCACCTGGTTAAACTGTCGCCATCTTGCTTGCTCACCCGGAAGTCTATGATTTCTTTTGAGTTTCACTTTCATCTTTTTGTGCCTTGGAAACTGTTGTTTCTGGAAACTGCTCATTAACTGAATCTGTTAAAAGAAAAATAAGCAAAAAACATGTTTTGAATACGTTTTATAAATACTTTGGTTATTTTACCTGCTATAAATCAATTATTGGCTAATTTTGTAAAACGCTTAACATTTTAGTGACAATGTGTTCATTAAAATATTGAGATAGAAACTTGATGTTTCTCCTGCCTGGGATGAAGCACACAGGTCATCATCATCATCATCATCATCTGCTGAGTTTCTACAGGATCTAGTAAATAATAAAAGCTAATTCTGTCTTGGTTTCATCCAGTTTTGTCCAGAAGTTCAGCAGGGAAACCAGCAACTTCTGAGGAAACAGATTAAATTCAGA